AAAACAACATTATACGATACTTTTAAAATAAGTAGACCTGTTTGACCTTACAAATAATTGTGCAGGTGCTGTAGGACTTCATGATGGAGCCCTTTGGAGGGAAAACTGGAGTGTTGCAGAGGCTGTGTGCTAACACAAAAAGCCAAATTAAAAACGTACGCAGCCATGCTGCAGCATGTGGGTGGCTTTTAGGCAAGTGCAGAGTGTTGTTAAATGTCGAAATCAAATATAGTCATGGGGAAAACTGGTGTGTGAATGGAAAGACTGATCACATACTTGTCCTGTCGCTTAAATGTGCGGTAGGCTCCTCTGAAATTGAAAGTCTGCCTAGTTGCAAGCCAGATTATAGGGAAATACAAGTCTGATTTTAAGTCTTCTAAAGTCTAGCCTTTCTGTAGATTTGAAAACTAAGTTTGCATTTGCAATTTATTGACAGCTGCCTTTGCATTTTCATGTTAAGGCTGTGGACTTACCTTCTGCTCACTCACACTAATGATGTTGCCCATAAAACCAGACAGCTGGCAACTTAAGTAATGAATAGTAACCTCAAAACATAGCTGTGAGGTGAAAGAAATCCCTGTTTTGTAGATTTGAAAACCGAGGTACAGAGATTAAGTGTTTATTCAGCATCCTTTGAAAGACTGTGGCATGGACAGGGTTTGATCTTTGCTCTGGAAAACCTCAGTCTAGTACTTGATAATGACCTTTATAGCATCTTCTAGGTAAAATGCCAAAAATTCATGTAATGCTCCCTCTTCATCTGAGGAACAAAATATTAAGTAAACAGTAATGATTTAGGCTGCCTAACCTGAAACAACCCTGTAACCCTGACATTTTATTGTGTAAGATGAAGACTTGGTTGATTTAAAACAGTTCCTGATATGTGATGATCTAGTCCTTTTCTACTCTCTAGCTCACCATATGCAGAATACTCTTTTTTACAAGTTAAAAAAAGGCACGATACTATTTGAGGCCAGGGAAATGACTAAGTTGGATATTGGCCAAAATATCAGACATAATCAGCTCAAAAATAAAAACAATGCGAGTACCTTTGGTGGATTAATACAGGAGAAATAAGCCTACAGCTTTCTAAAGTAAGCTAAAAATGATGCTTCAGGTTCTTTAATCCTCCCTCCATCCCTTGTCTTATTGTGTAGTTATTTTGTCCATTCAATTTAGGACAGTCCTGCCCCGAATGCTTTTGCCAGTCACACCACCTTTTAATCTCCCTTCTGTTCATCTGCAGCTACTTTGGAGTTGCAGTTCCTTTTATGTCACTCACCCAATATTTAGAATTTATAGTTTCCTCAGATAGCTGGCCATCTTGACAAGAAGAGTGACACAATCAGCTGTCAGATACTTTTCATTCCTGACTTCCATGCCAAAACTGACATGTGGATATTGGGATAATAATGTGTTATCTTAATTAGGTGTATCTTCGTGATGCATGCTTTATAACAGATAGAGCATATGAAACTACTGCAATGCCTTGCCAGGGTATCTTTGAAATGAGATTCCCTACTTAAGAGTTTTCTTCCTTCTTAAATAAATAAAGAGTAAACGAACAATTGCAGAGTCCAAGTCTGAATCCTAGCACTTCCTGTTAAACCTCACAAAATAGTGCAAGAAACATGTTTGGTCTGCTTTCTAAGGCTTGATGATGTGATAGGAAGGATGTTGTATGTAACATCAAAGAATGATGTTGTTATACCTCTGAAGCATGACTTCTGGAAGTCCAAGTGAAATAATGTATGTTCATTTTTCTCCTGAATATGGCAGTTTTTAATAGGCTTGGATTCTTATCAGAAATGTTCCAATGATTTCCTTCATTGTGTTTGCGTGTGCTTTGACTAGCCAAATTTCTCTCACACTTCCCCAAGTCCTGTTAAGTGACTCTCTGCTGGGTTAAGTTAAGAGCAGTGCCAAGCAAATTGCAAGCTGCCAAAACCAGCCAACAAACCACTGGTGATGAGCTCTTTCAGCTCATGGTGAATGTTACTGTTTTCATAATTCCAATATCATATTCAAGTGGAAAATGGTAAAGTCTGGACAACAGACAGACCTGAACAGTGTTTTGGACTTGAGAATAGAGTCTGTCTGAGGGTCAGGGTGGATCATAACTTTCACACTTGCCGTCTATTTATTCATGTTAGGATTAAAGTCTTGAGAGTATTCCTGGCCCAGCGATCGTTCTTGAAATAGACTTCTTGGAGCTGTGCATGGTGATCTGGGGGCAGAATTTACATCTGTGTATTTATATCTCACTTAGAATGATTACAGACCTTTTTGTGAAAGACCATAAAATGTGAACCTTTAGAGAGTCCTGCAGAACCAAGTGTGTAATGCACAAAAGATAATTCATAAGGCATGACTGGATTAATTTCTTCTCTATATCCTCTGCTGTAGTGAATATATTATGAGTATACTGTGTTTTCTTCCCTTTCCTCTTCCAAATGTATCCTGAAGGGAATAGATCTTGCCTGTTGTAGCATGCTTATAACTATTCCTTTTAGTTTATTCTCATCATTGTCCTCAAACTCAAGACCATTAATTGTTTAGCGACATGCCCATGTGTTGGCATGCACATGGCAAGAGGCTCAGGGCAAGTCGGTGACTTTCCCTGGAGGGGAGATGTGAGCCCAGGACAAAGTATTTCCTCAGTGGAGTTTTCTCAGCAGGTAGCTCTGCTACAGTGTTGCACTCACATTAGTAATCTGAAAGAGATTTTGTGAAAACCAAAGCCAGTCAGATATTAAACTGAGACAAATAAAGCTTCAATATTTAGGAAAGATACTGTTCCTTCTTTGTCCCGTGAACAGGATGTGTTTTAAAGGTAGGAGCAGGTGACAGACTCCTAGTATTTCTGGCTGTGCCACTAATTTCCTTAAGAACTGATGTTTTTTCACAGGTTATACTCACACTCAGGTCTTCACTTGTAAAGTGATGATACCTATATCCCAGCCACAGGCATACTTATTTATAAAAATCCCAATTAAAACCTTAGATGACAGACCAAAGCCAAGTTTGCATTGACAAAATGCAGATTTTGAGACTACGTAGTGCAACAGCGGACTATTTCAGGAGAAAGGGGACTGTCTACAATGCTAAATCACAGGAGGTAGAAGTGATAGGATAGTTTCCTTCAGATATGTGTGTTCCAGATCTGTACTAAAATGCAGAGGAAGATTCTTGCAGAATATCTTGTTTTTAAGCTGGAGAAAAGGTGGACTATATAACAGACACAAAACATGAAACTGCAGTTTAAGGTAATAATGCAGTAATGTAATTGGAAACTAGTTTAATGTTACCTCTTCATGTGTGAGAGCTCAATGGCATTTCATAATAAGGGACTTGAACCTAGCTCTTCTGTATCCTGTCCTTGATCTTTTGGATCAGGCAGACATGTTGTCTTAGAATCATAGAATCATTAAAGTTGGAAAAGACCTTAGTGGAAGTCCTCTGCTGTGGAGTGCTAATAGCACCCTGAAGCAGACTAACCTTTCCTAGGAGTCATTTATGTTAAAACTAGTAAATTCCTATAACAAGTTTTGTTTTGAACAAATCAATATTTTTGGATACAGAAATATTTTTTTGAAAAATTCGTAGGTTATACTTGCTGTTCCAGTCACAAAATCCACTTTTTATGTCAGTTATATTTTTCTGATGCCCTAAAAAGATTATGTATCTGCTCTCCTCTGGGTTCCTCAGGCATATCATTCCTCAGTGTGTTGAACAGCTCTGTACTACTGTAGTAGGTCCTAGCTGTAATAACAGAATAGGGCTAACACGATGTTAAGTATGTTAAAAACCAAAAAGATTTGTGGTGATCCCCAAGGTGTTTGTTATCAAAATATAAGTTGAGAATCTGGAAGTGGATCATAAGTATGGAGTGTGTGGGTATGTGTGTGAGTGTAGCAAGGAAACACTAAGATATAAATGGTAATTTAAAGTATATTGTTTGTCAGGTCTTTATATGTGCAATGCAGAAGGCTGGAACGTTAAAGAAAGGTTTGAAATGATATAATAATTGATAAAGATATCAATTTTCACATGCCAGTCAGCAATAACATTAAATGTCTTAGTGAACCGTAGAGTGCAGTATTGTGAGAGAAAGTTTCACGGATAATTTAAAATACGACATTAATTTTTTGCAGTCTTGTTTTAATGTAGATTTTCCTGAAGAAGGATGAGGGAAAGAACAACAGTCTATCTACCTTTATCCAGATAATTGTGTTTGCTTACTACTGGTATTGCCTCGTTGGGTGCAAACTAGAGAGTGTATGAGCTGGTCCTGCCAAGCAGGTTGATCAAGGTCAGGAAGAACATGTAGGATAGGTGATGTGTTTTAATCTAATTAGCTGAATCTAAATCAGAAAACACCTGTGTGAGGCTGCTATTGCTGATAGAAGTTTAGGGAAGTCAAATATGTGGTCATCCCACTAATACTTTAGAATAAGAGAATATGTCAAGTTGTAAGGGACCCATAAGGATTATCAAGTCCAACTCCCTGTACCTCACAGGACTACCTAAAACTAAACCATATGGCTAAGAGCCATCATGACTTCCCTTGGAAGCCTGTTCCAGTGGCCAACCATCCTCTCAGTGAAGAACCTTTTCCTAATGTCCAACCTGAACTTCTGATGCAGCTTCATTCCTTTTCCTCATGTCCTATCACTGGTCATCAGAGGAGATCAGCACCTCCCTCTCTGCTACACACCTTGGGGAAGTTGTAAACTGTGATGGGGTCTCCCCTCAGCTGTCTCTTTTCCAAGCTGAACTAACCAAGCGGCCTCAGCCACTCCTCCTACATCTTGTCCTTTTACTACATTGGTTGCACTCCCCTGGACACACACTAATAGTTTGATGTCCTTCTAATATCAGGAGCCCCAAATCACACACAGTACTTGTGGTGCCATCATATCTCTGATGCTAAAGCATTGTGGACTTTCTTTTTAAAATTCATCCATTATAATGAACGTGGCCATCTTCTCTAACCTTAGGTTAGAGCTGTGCATGCTGCTGGAGAATGAGCACATCTTAGAAGGTGAGAGTCCTTCTCCTCCTCTCATCCTCTCTCCAATGAGAAGGTAATCTGTTTTCTTTCCGTTCTTTCCTTGTCTAATAAGCATGCATGTTTGGATAATTTAGGATGAGTACTCCATGAATGAAGAAATTATGTAATATATGTGGTTGAGATAAAGAAGTGATCAATTTAAATTTACAATTTAAATTTACATTTAAATTTAAATTTATGGGTACAATTCAAATTTAAGGATGACCAGAGACCTTTCAGGGACAGCTCTCATAAACTGTAATGCCACTCAGAGACTGGAAGTTGTGCAAGACTGCTGGCAAAGAATTACCTTGCTCAGATAGGCTGTTCCAATCTTCTCTTTCACAACTTCTCTACGGATAGCAGAATTGTTATAATATTTAATTCACTACGGGATAGCACCTCTCTGAATGATGAGTGTTTATAAAAGCTTTCAAACTTGAAAAGCATGTAGCATTCTTCTCTTTGATACATGACCAAAGGACTTTTAGGAATAGTAAACATTAAGCGTGGTGGAAGAAAATCATGTGTTACTAAGGCAAGACTAGCAATGTAGTTTTGAGCAATTTATACAGACTGGAAAGTCATCATGTATTACTGAAACTTGGTCTGCACATGGGAATGTGGCTGGCATATTAATGTTAAGAAGGAGCATGGCAATTATGTACGATGAGGTGCCAGGACACTAATAGGTATTCCTGTGGAAAATGGTTGAAGCTCAGCTGATGGCTGATACGAGTTTTGCTGCATTTTCCTGTCCCATGCTATCATATAATTACCACTTGGTGTGTGAATTTTAACAGCAGGAAAAACCTCACCCCTAAGCCAATACAGCTTACAATGTCTTAATAGAGATACAGTTACAGTAAGGGAAAAACATATTTTTGTAACTAAAGAGTGTTAAAATTTAAATCGCTAATTTAAGCCTTATTGGCAAAAGAATTTATGAAGTTTGGACAAGCTCTGCCAGTGTAGCTCTGCTAGAAATCTTTTTGTTAGGAGTCAAACTGGGAAGCTTTTGAACCCTGGGTTCTAATATGCTGCACAGAAGGAAAGAGAAATGAGTTCTTGCCTGTTCCAGATAACAGTGGAGAAGCTGCCCAATCTGTCGTGCCTAACCATGCTGCTGAATCGCTTCACTACAGATCCCCGGTATCAGCAACTCTTCATCAATCTGGTAAGACTGAAGCCAACTCTAAAAACAAACATTTCCTCCATGAACAATGTGTTTGTTATATTTTCTCATTTGTTTATGATGGCTGTGTCAGCTGCACTGATTTACATAAACACTGCCAATCCTCCGACGTTACATTCTCAGCAAAAGTAGCTGAGTACAAACAGCATTCCAAAGTTTTAATTCATATTGTATAAACATAACAGATGTTGATAAAATGAGCCAAAAAGAAAATACAACAAAGGAGACCATTTCAAGGGGGCTTTTGATTAAAATACATTCCAGATTGACAAAATGATACAATGTTAATGGAATAGATCATTTAAATGTCATTATTTGGCTCTTATAGTCCTATAAAGCAAATATAAAGCAACACTTTTGAGATTTAGACTCCATTACAGTGCAGTGCCTATACATCAAATTATAAATAAAACTAAATTTCTTTCCCCTTTCCTTTTTCTTTTTTTTTTTTTTTTAAATCCCTGCTATGACATTGCCACATTTATTTCCTAAATACACTACTAAAATACTGGGTCCAAAAGCAATAATATTTTAGTATACTAAATAAGGCCTAAAATAAATATGTTATAAACAAAATAAATGTAGTTTCTGCCTCAGTGAATTTCCAGTCACTGAAGCTGAGGTGGGGGGACATTGAGAAATCCAGGTCAGGAAGCCTAATTCAGATGGGTTTTATTTAAAAAGATATAAAATCTGCTCCTGTTTACTTATGTGTAAATAAGATAGGACTGAGTTCAAGATCCATCTGGTCTAAATCTCTTGCTTTGAGAATAACTAGAAGGAGAGAAAAGTTACAAAACCCAGTAATGCTCCTAATATCCATTATCTAGTTTGGATTAAGAGTTTCCTTTTAATAGATGGGAAAACTGAGGTGGAGAGAGGACACATGATTTTCTGAAGTTCAGGAGGAGGTCATACATGGGAGTAGATGCCAGCTCAGCTGAGGCCCAGTCCAGTGCTTGCACCATTGGGCCACACAACTTTTTATTATGAGAAACTTATGGAACCCAATGAGGTTTCATATTAATACCTAACTTTTTAGTATCTGATGTGATTCCTGAAGCACAAAGTTAAGTGTCCCTTTCAACAGCTTGTTACTATCACTCATGAAAGCTCTGTTTCTGATATCCACATAAATATCCATTGTGAAGTTCTTGGTTGTAATGATTTCCTGTGGCAGTGAGTTCCGTAGCAAAATTCTATGCAGTATGGAAAGAGAAAATCTTTTTACTTTTGTTTTCCTCCTTATGTCTTTGAATGTCTTGTCTGTCCTGTAAATGAAAGACGGAGAAGAGATGTGTCCTTCTACTCTCTGCATTTATTTATATTATTTTGTCAAGTCTTTGTTTCAGTTTTACTCTGTCTAGGGAAGCATACACTTGGGAAGCATAATACACCTTCTTTGATAGAACTGGTCAAGTCATAAGAAGGATACTGTGGAATTATGGAAAAAGTAAAAACTTACTGAGCCACTATATACTCTATACAGACCAGCTTAGTTAACAATAAAATGGTCTTTAGCTTTGTTCCTATCAAGAAACCATTATAGCCCTCATGGTTTTCAGTGACCAGAGTTTAGTACCTCTTCTTCTCAGAGCCATGTGATTGTTCTCTTTGTCCTCTTCCTTGCAGCCTGTTTCTATCTGAATTGATTTTTTTATAAGCATTTACTGCGAAATATTATAGGATATCATAAATGGCTGTGTAATGAGATAGCAACTATAAAAAAAATCTTGAGACTTAATAAACCTTGGGGTCACTGACTGTTTCCAAGTAAAAACTCAGACCATATCAATGGACCTCAGCTTTTCTAGCCTGTGAAATTTGGGTACATTCCAGATGTAATAGTTTATTTAGAGTGAACCTGGTGGTTTACCAAAAAAAGAAAGTGCTTTTTTACTATGGTATTTCCTGATGTTTTAGGCATAATTTGGGATGGGGAGCGGGGAGAGAAGAATCCATGTTCTTATTGGCTCCTGTCCCTCAAGCCTGCTACCTGTCTCCCTGGCCTCCTTCCTCTGCCTCTCCTTCCCACCCTTGTTGCAGTGGGAGTGCTTGTACTTTTGTCTTCTCTCTTTGCCTTACAGAAGTCACACATAAACAAATATTCAATGTCAGTCCGAGCTCATTTCTTGCTACAGTGCAGCTATGTCATCTTTCACACCCTGGGGCTGTGCCACCTCACTGTCGACCTGCAGAGCCGAGTGGTTAGGGTGATCACCAGGAAGGACTTGACGTCTTTCCCACTGGAGGAGAGGCTGAGGCTCCAGCTGGTGCCACAGAGTGCCTGTGCTGATGAACTGCCCCCAGATTCAAGGCCACGCATGTATTCTTAGGCTTTGTCACTTCTTTTTGAGCCCATGTTCATCTTCAGGAAAAAATAATCAGAGCTTTTGCTTCTTCAGATCCTTTCTGGAGAAGAGACGCTTAAAAGCTGTAGTATCTAAACATGTGGCATTGTAGCCCAAGTTTGTGTATCTTCAGCTGCTTGGTGATTACAAAATTCATTAATTTAAATGCTTGCGAGAAAAGATATCAAGTTTGTGGAAGATATACATAAAATCAGATGTGAAAGATGGATGTCAAGAATGCTTTTGTCATGCTCTGCCTATGCCACTCAAAGAAAAAATGTCATAACCATTAATGACAGTTATGCTGGCAAAGCCTTTCAGTGAAGACTAAATCTTCAACCTCTGAGTATCTGCCTAATAAAAAGGAAAATGTTTTAGATTTCCTTCTATGACTTCGTAATTGATGTTTAATTTTTTTCTGTTAAATAGCAGAGGGATTCGCACAGATCTGGATATTAAAATCAAACATGTATGAAGAAATCCACTACTATTAATGTTATAAAGAATACCAAGGAAAACTAGTAACAATTTATTGGTTATACAAACTTGCCAAAATTCCTGAAAGTGAATTTCTGGTATTTGAATCATGCAGCTTTGAGTCTCCTATAAATCAAAGATTTATAGTTGGATGTTCTTCTGTTTTCCCTTTTGGAACTTGTCTTTGTTATCAATAATGTTGCTTTTGTAGTACCACAGAGAATGCACAGCACTTTAAAACTGAGATGTCCAGTCAATGCATATAACTGGCAGCCAAGTAACATATGAAGGTACATGAGACAGGCTCGTTAAATGGTAGGGTTAAAATATGTGATATGCAGGGTGAGAAATGCTCTGCAAGTCATCCATTCAAGAGATATGGAGGTGGGTGTTTATTTAGATTATGTTACAGTTAGTAATCTTTTGTTCATTAGTACATTAGTAAAGTCATTGTTATTACTGAGCTATGCTTCACCTACCTGAAAAATGCAAAGTTTTTCTTGAAGGAATTAGGTTTTGTGTGCTAGCAGAACAAGAGATCTAATCTAGAGATCTAATCTAGAGATTTCCTCTTAAGACACTGAGAATATCTTTTCTTGATAACCAAATCTGAGTAACCTTGCCATGAATTTGCATTTTTGGTTCAAAGCCCATTGCTGATTTCCTTTTCCTTGATTTACTGAGTGTACAAAATATCACCTTTCTAAGACTTAAGTAATGTAATTTCTTTTTGCTTACAGTATCTGTGGCTAAATGACTCAGTACAAACTGTAGTTGGGGTGGGCTTTACGTAGTATGAGAGCTTGAGACAGCCAGGATAACTCTAACTCGTTAAACAACTTCAAACAGGTCACTTAAATGCTTGGCATATCATTTACTCTGCCTTGAAATTTGGGACAGGGATATAGTTACTGTGAAGACTACATGTGTGAAAGATGTTATAAGAATATATACTATTTAGAACAATAGTTTGTGCAGTCCAGTCATAAAAATCAGTGCAGGTTTGGGGTTTTTTTTCCCCCATGTTAGTACAAGTGTAATTTCTAAGCAAAAGTTCACACAATTTACATGAAACCTCTCATAACTGTGTTGTAAACTGTGGGGGATGGCATGGTGCATTTTTCCGTACATCGTTATGTGGTTTCATTGCTAGATGAGGGTTTTTTTTGTTTGGTTTTTAATTTGTTTTTATGTGATGTATGTGTGTTTGTGAAGACACACAAAACGGAATTCCACCTAGGAATGGAGTGACTCCCTTATATTCTGGATTCCGGTGACAAACCCATCTCATCACAAACGATAATAGCGTAATTCGTATAGGAAAGTGAAAACAGATAAAATATGTAGGAAGCTTTTCATTAGTATGTCAGTCTCATGATTCATATAGAACAGGAATGACAGTAACAAGTAGTCATATCATTTGGCTCTTCAGCACAAAGTATTTTTATTTTTCTTCTTGTCTGCTTATAGTGTATCATAAATGTTCTGCTATGTCTTCACATAATTTGAACTAAGGGCCAGATAGAACAAAGATGCTATTTTTATATGAGATAACCTTTATCAATTTTCGCAGTTTTTGAATGCAAATCTCTGTGACAAAGGGCTTCACAACAAAAATCAAGTCTTTGGCGTTATTTTTGGCTTTTGCTATGCATCTGTACCTCTTTCATCTCGTTCTCCCTTATGATGGTGTTTTCCTAATACTTCTTTCCCTCTTAAACACAAATATGTCTTAAAACACGGGCAGATTGAACTTTAGATCTAGGTTTGAAGTACAGTCATGCAAAATCCCCCATTGTTCAATTAGGAAAAATGCTTTCACATTAGAAACATTAAAGCATCTGTGCATTACATATCCCTATGAATGAACATAAGCTGTTGTGAGAAGTTTTTTGTTGCATACAGCTTTAATATGTGGTTTCACATATATCCTGCAATGTCCATTATGTAACATTGCTTGTGTTTTTCCTGTCATGTGATACTTATATACTTAAGAGTTAATTGCCCAGTGTTTTTAAACTGCCTGGTTTATCATACTGGAGAACCTTTCAACATTTTCTTGTTTCACAATTGATTCTTGCTTACATTTTTAAAATGAGATGTTGTCCATTAATCACATTTATTTGCTGATCATGAACGGAAATACCTAAAGGAGGGAAGAGAGATGAAGAAATTCTTAGTATCTACTTTATATAAAAATGATGACTTTAAGGATTTGGTGACCAACATTGCTAAAGGTAGCAGTAATACGATACGGGCTATCATACCTCGAGTCTGAGATAGCTTTGAGCCAAAAAGCTAAATGCTAATGGAAATGTAACTTGATGTGCTCTGCAAGAGTAGTGCCTGGAAAATCACTGGTGAGGAAGTGCTGCAAAATGTTACTGTTGTCTCTGCTGCCCCTTTTCACATAGCTTCAGCTAACAGAGCTGTCAGTGTACCTCTGGTGATCATGAAATCACTTAATGAAATGAAGTGTAACCAGCTCTCTACTAAACTAGTGCTTAATTAAGTGTGACCATCAAGTGATGGGAACCATAGTAGTATACAAGGGATTGCTTGTTCATTCCTGAAAGACCTATTAAAATAAGAGGAAATATGTGATCAGCACAGTTGTCTGAATGTCTAACAAGGTATGGCATGGGAATGCCAGCATCAGAGTTCAAACATATGAGGAGTTACTGCTGCTTACTTGAGGTACTGAACAAACTAGAATAATTTACACTATGTGATTGTAATCAATGCCTAACACACTTCTGATGGGCCAAAGCAATGAAACGGTTGACTAACTTGCAGTATCTCATTAAACTGACAAATTTTGCTTGCCTGAGATCATAGATTCTATGTAAAGACTCAACATTCTGCCACTGATGCTACTCCTTACTCCATGCCAGCAGAGAAACTGTAAGGAATTACCAGCTTCTGCATATTTTCTTTTGAAGCGGTTACAGAAAAGAATTTATATTTTTGTGCAGTTTATATTTGCAAAGAGCTCTGTAGATGTGAAGTCCCACAGCTTCTGCTATGGTGTTGCTATAATTGCCCTTCGTATCTATGGTGGAGCCAAGATGTGGAGATGAAGTAGCCTACTGAGGACTGGAAAGTGATCTAAAAGTGATCTAAATGGCTGATCTAAAAGAACTTCAGACTCTTGACTTCTTTTCTTCTCAATATTAATCTCTTGTAAAGTAAACCCAAAAGCTAGCAGTAAGGGAAGGCATGGCAAGTTGTGTCCTCCTGCATTTTATCAGCTTTCCTATACAGGAGAGAAGTGTTTCTAGTGTGATAGGGCTGTCCCTGGAATACAGAGTAAAGCCACCCATGCAACAGGGAGGACTGTGAAGACTGCACCTGTGGAGGAGGCACTGTGTAAGTGCTCTCTCTCAATGAGAATGCAACCTGGAAGCCTCCCTGAGATAGACTGGGTACAGCTGGTCAGCACAGCAAAGGATAGGACCACTGCTCAGTCACTGTATTGCACATGCAGAAGGTATGGCTCTCTGAAAACATGAGATGTACAAAAATAAATAAACAAGACTTGGTATCTCTGGTATGGGTGTGTATGTATAGACGTGGACGTGTGTATGTGTGTATATATAGGTAAGGAACCTAATCCTTTTTTAACTATCACTTGCAATTTAAAAGACAGGCTAAGCACTGGATGAGGACACACATTTCCTCTTAGGAAAATAAAAAGGGAGAGGAATCAAACTATGTCTGTCTTGAGCTTCATTAACCTATAGTCATACAGACTACTACCTATAGAAACCTTTTAATCCTTAAGTGGTAAGCAATAGGATAGGGATTAGTGTTGATGCAAGGTAGGGGTTGAGAGCAAGGCGCAGAGGTAAAACAGATAGAATCAAGTGCCCGAGATAGCAGTCTTGTAGAACATACAAATAAGAAGTATTATTTATCTGATATGCCAACAAGAGTATAAAATATAAACATTGTTCACGAAAGTGACATGACATTTTTTAATCAGCCTGGGTGGGTTGTATGTCTGACAGTGATCTTTCTTGCACTTTGTCTTTAAGGTGAAGAACAACTAAAACCAACAGGTCTTTGAACCTAGAAAGCCAAGTTTCACAGAATCACAGAAGAATTTACATTAGATGGGTTCTCTGGAGGTCATCTAGTCCAGCCCTCTCCTCAGAGGAGGTCTAGCTAAACAGATTCCTCAGGGCCATGCCCAGTTAGGCCCTGTACACCTTCAAAGATGGAAAGTCCACATCCCCTGCTCCAGTATTTGACCACCTTTATGGTAAAACATTTTTATTATACCTAATTAGAACTTCCCATGCTCCACCTTACATCCACTGCCCATTATTGGGCACACACAAGAGTAATCTGGCTCTGTCTTATCTGTAGCCTAAGGATAGGTAGTTTCAGCAGTCCGGTCTCTTCTGAGCCTCCTCTTCTCCAAGCTGAATGAACTTATCTCTCTAAGCACCTCCTCGCATGCCTGTGCTCCAGCCCCCTGACCAGTCTGGTGGCCTTTTGCTGGA